TAAAATAATTACTTTTAAATAATATCAAGAGATTACAAAATTATGCGTTTCGATTAATACGTCTACGAGTCCAACTAATTTTATTATAAGTGTTTGTGACTACATGACATCGTTTGAATTGTCGTATAACGAAGTCAAAACCATGCACGATATCGAAGTTTTTTTTTTCAATAGTTAAATTAATATCGATAGTGAAACTTTGTATGCCCGTTAATACCTGTAATTACAACAATTTAACATAGCATCTTCGGTTATTTAGAACTGAAACTTCCAGAACGCACAACGATTACGATATCATTTAATAATTATATTCGAGATTTTTATTTAAATTTGAGCGTCAACAATCTATAGTAAAATAAAAACCTCGATGATTAATTGGATTAAACTATTTTGCCAATTTGATTCTTGTTTTTCACAGACTACGCAAGTTGATCATTTGCGGCATACGAATGCATCAATGCGGCATTATATTAATTTGATTCTTGTTTTTCACCTATCTATTCTTGCATAAATCACGCAAATTAACATTTGCGGTATATGATTGCCTCGACGTGGCATTGAATTAAAATATTCTCGTATTCCGTATACTTCGAAGTTAAACATTCGCGACATATGAATGTATCGATGCCGCATTATATTAGTTTGAATCTTGTTTTTCATCGATCTATATTAGTATAAATTACGCAAATTGAACATTTGCGGCATATGAATACATCGATGCGGCATGATATTACATTATTTTGCTAATTTGATTCTTGTTTCTTGCCGATCTAATATTGTGTAAATTACGCAAGTTGATCATTTGCGGCATATGAATTAAATTATTTTCGTATAGATTAACATTTGTGGCATATGAATGCCTCTGTGGCATTGAATTAAATTATTCTCGTATACCGTAACTTTCGAAGTTGAAGATTTGCGGCATATGAATGTATCGATGGGACATTATATTATTTTGAATCTTGTTTTTTACCGATCCATACTAGTATAAATTATGCAAACTGAACATTTGCGGCATATGAATACATCGATGTGGCATTATATTAAGTTATTTTGCTAATTTGATTCTCGTTTTTCGCCGATCTATTCTTGTATAAATTACGCAAGTTGCACATTTTGCGGCATATGAATGTCTCGTTGCGGCATTAGATTAAATTAATTATTGCTTCATGAACTAATTCATCTAATGCTATATCGAGGCATCAATTTTACTGTTTATCGATTGTGTGTTATCAAAATGAAATTTTTATATTATCTCTGATCCATTTATTATCGTTAACACGCCATCCTATCTACATTGAAAATGAGAGAAACACGGCACGCCAAGGTTTACGTCGAGGAACGGCCGATGCGTGCCTGCGTGCGTCGATTGAAATTCAGTGACGTCACACGCCGTCAATCGTTTTTTGCTCATTTCTCTCGAACGCACCGGTAAAATTTTTTTTACATCGGTAGATCTGATTATTTTTTCACGAGGAATTCAATAGTGATGGTTTTAGATTGCGCTTTTTGTTAGTTTACTGCGCAGCTTCAATTTATCGATATCGGGAGACAAAATCCGCCAGACGTCCATCGAAGGAGGGATATTCGATCACCGTTAAAATAGGTTTCTCTAAAACGAGAGATTGTCTCTCGATCTGTAAAGTGTGCCGTACTGTACTGACGTTTGTACGTGGCGTTACTCTTGCCGCTTCGCGAAGCTTAACTATTTATTCTTGTGTTCTTTATTATAACTCGTATATATTTCACTAACTACTCCTAATTTATTGCAAAATGCTAGTTCGTTCTTTTATGATCGTTTATTTTCAATGCAAGAAAAGGATTAACAAAAAAAAAAACGGAAGAATTGAAAGTACCTAACACTGGTGTAGGTTGAAATTGAAATGCAATATGGAACATGTAAAGAATGAACAGACATATCTAATCATTATGATCGTATAGATACATGTTTCAGGCCTAACGTATTACCAATTGCTACGGTATCTGTCGGTGTCGGAGGAAGTATGCAAAAACAAAAATCGACAAATTTCATATGCATTAAGCGTATGCATACCCATATTTTTAAATAAACAACATATGACTGAGACGATAGTGATGTTTTTGTAGGATTTAGTGACTAGGATCATGGATAAGCATAATTTTTAAATTTCACGAAACTGGGCCCGCGATGTCTGGCGTTCAAATGTCGCAGCGAGTAACGCACGAGCTACGCAAAGTGACGTCGGCTACGAAGAGAGAGAAAGGGATTTGCGTCGTTGACGTCACGCTGTACGTAATCATCAAAACGTCGATATTTTGATGTAATTTTTAAATCAAAATAATCGATTTCACTCGAATCTCGTACGACACCTTGTGATCACTGTATTTTTTTGTATACATTGTGTACGCTCTCTAGCGCTTGGCGGTGATTTGACGAAGGTAGCATCTGTAGAAGTCACGATTTGAGCCGCTCGAAAAAACGGTGTCATTTTTATGGTAAAATATGATTTTTTGAATGATAAAAAATCAAATCGAGCGATTGGAGGCTACGGCAGATTCAGATATGGGCTGTCCCTTATGGTGACAAATATTGGGTAAGTTGTAACGTTTTTCTTATGGATACAGTTTGGGTGGATTTGGGGTTAGGGTTAGGGTAGATATAATTCCGCATGATCAATTAAAATCTGGTACATTAATTTGTGAATATACCGTTAATACTTATTACTGAAAAGCGCTATAAAACCATGGCAAGAGCTGCCGCGGTTCGTTCGTGGCAGGAGCTGCCATGAAGTGGTAAGAACTGCACCTTCCGTCTAAGGGGTAAAGAAGCAGTCACTGTCACATTTCTGCTTAGGCTGCACTAGTTCACAAGTTTTAATTTCTTAGTGGTTGAATGAGTTTTATTTACATTTAACAATAATATATATCAAGCGATAATATAATTAAGCGACCCCTTAAATACAGACGTCGCTGGCGTTAGTGAGTTTATTATAGTCGGCGCAGATGCCATTTCGGGCAATCGCAGCTATACTATGACAAGCTTTATGACATATTTGTGACTTTGTAGTGACATTACCTTTGGATGACATAGTCGGGTCGGGGTTAGGAAATCGGGTCTCATGTAGTTTCGTACCTCACATACTTCTAGTGGTCGCAGCATGACAATTTTATTCACGTATCAATCCTAACCCCCACCCGACTACATCATCCAAAAATTACGCCATCACGATGCCACAGTGACGCAATAGAGCCCCTCAAACTATACGAACTGCCATCCAAGACGCGCAAACGAGCACCCGAAATCGAACAGTTATTTCTCCCGTTTTCTTGGCGCAACGATTCCGATAGGAGAGAGATCGATAACGTCAGTCAGTTCCCCATCGTAGGCGCCAATGCCATTTCGGGCGATCGTACGTATATATTTGGCAAGCTCTATAACGTAATTAACGTAAAGAACCAAATCAAAAAAACAGATCAGAAAAACAGCATGAAATAACGAGTAAGTTCTACACAAAACACTAACAGAGATAGTGAGATAGTTTTTATCATTATACCGGTACCGACAGAAAGAAAAGTCGATAGAACGGCTTATTTATATAGCGCACTACGGCTTCTCGTCCGATTAACTGCCCATCTCGGGTATGTGATTAGTTAGCCAGTTCAGCAGTTGTTCGTTTCAGTAGGTATGTTACAAAAAAATTAAAGTTCATCTGATTTAAATAAAAACTGCACCAGTGGATAGATCTAAGTGAAAATAAGAAAACAATACCAAGTTTGCGAAAAACAGTCAGAATTAATGGAGATCGGCATTTAAGTACCGCCCGCCAGGCCAATTTTTTCCATAAGGATTGTATTGCGCCGACTCAAAAACTGTGACCGCGCGAATGTCAGACCGATAAACAACAGAATGTATCTTGGCTATTTTTGAAGGTAATCGAAAAAAATTAGGAACGAAAAGTTATTGTGAATAGAAGAACTTAATGCAAAAAAGTTTACAAATTCTTTTCAACGATATTAGCTGCTTTTCAATTAATTATGTACGAGAAAGTCTCTGAACTTCACATAACCTCTGGTCGGCAACGACTTTCCGACTACGCAAGTCCCCGCCTACGCGGCAATTAACTGATTTAGCGTTTTTCATATCCGACCTTAATGAACGATTTATTATCATTTAATATTCCTTAACTCGTAAGATATTTACCGCGCTTAGTGAAACACTGAACGAGAGAAATCGCTGCGAGGGAAAATGTCGGCATTCAAACGATGATGCGCGTTGACAGACGCGTGCTAAGATCATACTTCTCGTGCCTTGAATTAATTTGTACCGTTTCGTAAACGTATGCGAATTGACTTTTTTAATAAGAACTTTAATGAATATGAAAAAAGAACACATATCAATCACTAATCTTGTGCGTCACATCTAAGAAAAATTGGGATTATTTTAGAATGCATATAACTGTATAATGTCGCAGTAAGAGTAGTACATGAAAATTTTGAGTAACCTAGAAAGTTTGGCTGCACACTAACACAACATATTCAGATGCTTGTTCAAAAAAGTATGGATTATTGAGACATTACATAAATATTGTAAATTGACTTTTTTAATAAGAACTTTAATGAATATGAAAAAAGAACACATATCAATCACTAATCTTGTGCGTCACATCTAAGAAAAATTGGGATTATTTTAGAATGCATATAACTGTATAATGTCGCAGTAAGAGTAGTACATGAAAATTTTGAGTAACCTAGAAAGTTTGGCTGCACACTAACACAACATATTCAGATGCTTGTTCAAAAAAGTATGGATTATTGAGACATTACATAAATACTAAAATGCTTTCAAGTTTGTGTGCAATAAAACTTGAGTAGCGCTTGACAGTTTAGGGGTCGCCTGTAACTTCGCTCAGAACTCAATCTTCTTTATTTTCGAGTGAGTAGTCTATATGTGCTGACATGATCTTTTTTGACCAAATTTCTTAAAAACTACAACTCAGAATACTAACTTTACATTAAAAAGATTTCTTGCACTTACCAGAACTTTTGTTAGTTATAAACAACAATTCAAAATGGTAGAAAGAGAGCAAATGTACAGCATTCCAGTAATCCCGTTCGATTTACGACGGGATGAAACGATCATGCAGTTTGCGGACTCATTAGATTATCTCTCTGGAGTTTCAGATGACGTTTTTGCAAGAGTGAACAACAGAGTCGCGGATAACAAAAAGAAACTTGATGCTTTGATGGACAGAATTAAAACCGCTGAAGCGCGAATCGAAAAAGTCCGGGGAAGTAACCGAGCGACGCAGGTTTTTTCTAGTTCGAAATACCCAGCGACCGAAGAACGAGAGAGATATATTTCAATGTTCAAAGATATGCAAAGCTCATTGAAGGAAGTCAAACAAAATTATCGAAAAATAAAAACAAGGCATTTAGCATTTGAGGACGAAAATTTAAAAAACAAGATGCAAATTTACAATCTCCCTCGACCGAGAACCAAGTCGGCACCATACGTCGATCAAAGTGGGGAGGGACTTGGGGGATTACCCTCAAATATTGCATCCCTGAGTTCGCTATTACTGTTCAACTCATCCGAGAACCCGTATAAGAAATATACCATTTTCGATCCTCTCGGTGTTACGACGAAAACCAAAACTGGTCTGGATGAAGAGAAAGCAGATGACAGTAGGCTCGGGGACGCACCAATGTCAATCAGCAATAGAGAACAAATGGAACGCCACGTTGCAGAGAATTATTTTTACGTTCCAGATTTGGGGGATGTACCAGAAATCGACGTTCCGATGGATTTGCCTGATTTACCTGGCGTTGCGGATTTAACGTTCAGTTCGGACGTGAGCGAGAGTATTGCTCCCTCGTTACTCGCAATTAGTAACTTACCAGATTTACCAGGTGTCGGAGATGCGTTACCTGATGTTCCAGATAGTGGCAGTAAAGAGGAAACTCCGCCTCCTCCCCCACCTCCGAGTTCAAATCCGCCACCCCCACCTCCTCCCCCGTCTGTTCCAAACACATCAGCGCCACCTGCTGGAGTCCCGCCTCCACCCCCGCCCCCTCCACCACCTCCCCCCTCTGCTCCGAGCGCAGTTCCGGAATCTGTTGCTACTCCTGATGGTGGGCGCTCTAATTTACTCGACTCGATTCGCAAAGCTGGCGGTGTCGGAAAAGTGAAACTGAAGAGTAGCAAAGACCGAAAGCTTGCTAAAAAGAAAGAAAAAGAAGCGAAAGCTGCTGCGAGCTCGTCAGGCGGTGGCGATATGATGTCTGATCTAGCAAGCCGTCTCGCTATGAGACGAAAAGGGATTTCGGGAGCTAAGGGGGCGGGTGCGGAACGGCCTGCCTCAGCTAATGATAATAATAGTAACCTCGGAGGCGGTTCGGCGATGGAGAAAATATCTGCGATGATTCCAGCGCCGACGCAAAGTCAAACCATGGACGCAGGCGATGATGATGACTGGAATTAGATAATTTTTATTTGAAGGGAGGATTTAATCCAAAAATTTTTTTTTTAAAACTATCAAAATTTGTGTTTTTGAAGAAAAAATGAGTATGAATATAAGGTTTCAAAATGATTTCACTAAAATCACTAAAAATAATGAAGCTTGAATATAGATTTTTTAAATGCAAATGGTAAATTTAAAAAATTTGTATCTTTTAAACAGAGACCCCCTGTCACTGATGCAAAAATGTGAGATTTGAGTAAATCACCACGCCACGTTTTTAAAATCAAATTGCTAATTACACAGTTGGGGTAGGAATTTTTTCAATTTCCAGCGCAATCTGCATTTCTAACACTTACTGGATAATTGCTAATTTTTTTATTTTGAGAGGTGACTGGATAATTGCTAATTTTCTTATTTTGAGAGGTGGCGAGGCTTTGTATAGAACAGGGGTGGCCAACCTGCTTTCAGCCACGATCAACTAAAATCTTCAAAATAGCTCACGATCGACTGATCGGTAATGAGGTCATACACAAAAATGAATGAGTGCTGAATATGCAGATAACTGCACAAATGTATACGAAAAATTACAGCGCTGCCAATAAGTTCGGCTGTGTGTGCGCATTTTTAATGAAATCGCCACACAAAAACTGGGTCTAGAGTGGCAATTTTTTAGGGTACCGGTATGTTATTAAATTCACTCAACATCAGACGCGATCGACTTCTCGAGACGTGGCGATCGAACGCGACGTGTTGGCCACCCCTGGTATAAAAGATTCGAAAATTTTTACGGCGAGATCCTATATAAAAACTGTTTGGGGAAAATCATTAAATAAGGATATAAAAATCAAGAAAAATTTGGATACTGTATTAAAATTTTTGACTGAATCACCAATAATTGTGCAAGTTTTATAGTATAAATTTAAGTATATAGAATATTTTATTTTAAACATTCAAATCACTATTTATTTGTGTGCCATGGAAGAGACCAATTTCAGACATTTATTAGCGATAATTAAGATTGAAATTTTTCATAGAAATTCAAAAATATATTTAGATGACCAAGGTTTTTTTATTAACAGTATTAGAAAACGCTTGGTTAGATCATACAGTGGGAGTGTTTTCAGAATCGCATGCTTTTTGTCTTGAGTCTTTCTGTGATATATCTAAATATGAGATTCATTTTGTACAACTCTTAGAAGTCTCAAATTGAAAACTGTAGAATTCAATTTTTTTTGTCTGTGATGTCACAGCAGTCAATTAAGGCTAAAACGAGAATATCGGTCGGAGACCAAAGACTTATCGATGGAAACTGCAGTTTCAATTCATGACTCTATAGTGACACCGCGTGTCCCATCACTAATCAATTATTAACTTGCTAATTATACGACATAATTCATCCAAAATCAATAGACTTCTGGTCCGAGATATGATAAATGCACATGCAAAATTTGGAGCAGATTCTACCACGCCTTTGTAAGATATCGCGTGCATCTAACAGACAAACAAATACCTATCAACATACTTACCGATCTAAAGATCGATAAGTAATAATTCAATGCCAATATAGTGCTCCATTTCCCAAGCATACCTAGATTTCTTTTCTTTCCATTACTGTATATTATATTGTGCAATATATGTTATATCAACATTATTTTATTCTTCGCTAATATGAACCAATATGGAGTCTGTTATTTATAATGATGCATTCGTTGCCAGGAGTATCCAAAATTGATTTGAAATTATTTATAATGGATATTTTAAATTCTTGATTTTAGTGGTTTTTCACAGGTTTTGCACTTTGTAGCAAGGTTTTCACTGAAAAGTCATTCAGTGTTAGTATAGTATTTTGGTGGTCGTAAATTTTTTATTTCAACAGCAATTTCAAGTCTCAGAAATATAAAAACCACTGGCAGGAAAAGTTGCAACTGGCCACTGATATGCTCTGAGCCATACAATTAGAATTTTATTTATGACCGACTCGACTCACTGCACCGGTTCTCAACCAGTGGGCCATGGCCCACTGCTGGGCCACAACCTTTTTAAAAATCACGAGAGTTATTGATAAATTAGTTAATTACAAAACTTTGATTGTAGAAGCAATGAATGATAATCCTGTACTAAGCTACTAAATGGTAATTTAAATTTTGGAAATCGAAGTGTCTAATTTTGCATAAAGAATTTTTGTTTTCTCTTAGTTTTTTCCTTGCATGAGAAAGTTAACGAGGCACAGAACATTTTGGGCAACCGAAGTGGGCCACGAGATAAAGAAGGTTAAGAGCCCCTAGACTAGAGATATCCGCATATCGTGGTGGTTCTTCTATTATTATCTGCTCTCGTTCCGACTACTTTTCAACAGCATTAATTTCCATTTGATTTTTTTTTCTTAATTATTTATTATATATCGGTCTTGATTTTGTATTGTTATTAAATTACATTGATTCTAGAATGATTAATTTTATTTTCGGTATTGTGGACAAAATTGTCTAACGATTAGAGCAGGGGTTCCCAAGCTTTTTTCAGGACGACCCCAAAGACAACTTTCAAGTGTCCAGTGCGACCCCAGGTCAATATATATATTTTTCATGAAACTTTAGAGCTTCTTTCACTGAACTTTCGAGTTTGGTCATGTGGTGGTATTAAGTAAAATAAGCTAAAACCCAACAGTGATGTCACAATAAACACCTACATTTTCAATAACAAGAGCATAGAGCGATGCGTATGGGCCTGTTTTACATTAAGCCATGGTACAAACTGCTAAATTTAACATGGTTTGTCAAATCTTAGATGTTTTGTGCATCCATCTTCTACCATACCTCAGCGACCCCATGACCTGGTTGCGACCCTACCTACTTATCACTTCGACCCAATTTGGGGTCACCACTCCTGGTTTGGGAACCCCTGGATTAGAGCATCAACTATGTGGGCACTCACCATCCAGGTCCGTGGACGGGAATTTTAAAGGGGGGTTCGGAATTTCCTAATTGCTAAGTTAGACGGGAGCATGCTAGTGGGTAGGGCTGGGCATTTCGAATCGAATAGTAAATTATTCGAATCGGTTCAGAGCAAAATTTCGAATCGCCGCCATCTTGTTTTTTCCTTCCTCCAATGGTCGAGGTAAATTTCTCAAGTTTTAGCCATATTTTTTCAACACAATTCTGACATATGACTCTTTTCTGAAGCGAGGTATTGATGAAATCGTGTTTTTTCATGGTGTGTGAAGGCTCAGCAATCTGTCTGAGTAATGTATTTTACGTTTCCAGTAATTTATGTGTCTGGAGGACCCAATACAATAAGAAAGTTACATACAATCTCCTAAGTATTCGAGATTCGATTCGAAAAAATTATTCGATTCGATTCTGAAAATATCAGGTATTCGAAAATGCCCAGCCCTACTAGCGGGTCCATGGGTTATCAAGATTTTTGCAGGTTATGAACGTTAAGCTACGAAAAATGACTATGTATGGTACAGAAAAATTTTTTTTTTTCACATTTCAGAAGGGAGGTTCTGACACTTGACCCCGACTCTATCGCTATTTTCAAATAGGGGGGTTTAGAAAATGTATCATACCAAAAAATGCTTTTTTTCACATTTCAAAAAAGGGGGTTTCGACCCTCAAACCTGGCTCTATCGTCAATGTCTCATCAAAACAAGACTCTTAGAAACTCCACTATTTTAAATAGCAGGTTACGCATATTGTGCGTTAGTGGCGTGCCTATGGTATGGCAGCCTTGACTCGCGGAACAGGCGCTATTTGGACGGGGGCAAAAAGTGGGGTGCCGTTTGGATGAAAGGCCAATTAGTGTTGATTGTAAAATGTTTTATTGATTATTTGGAAATAAAACAATTAAGTAACTCAATTCAACAACCATTGTTATCGGTTGTCATACAATGATCGAAGGGACACATTTTAAAATTTTGCCATGGCGCTATTTAGCCTGTGGTAGGCAATGTTGGACCAAAAAGATTCCTATTCTTACAAAATAGCAACTTTCTATTAAAACAGTATATGAAAGAGCGTAGCCCCTTTGGCTACACCCATGAGTATATGTGTTAGAATCAATTTCTGCTTGTTCACAGCCTTGTTAAGAGCAGAAGTGGCTTGATAGTTATGGATAGGATGACATTTACATATTTATCTCGGGGGAGGAGGAATGGCCTCTCGTCTGGTTACCGGTCCATATCGGGTATGAACTATGGAGTTAGTTAGACAGTTATTGGACCGATCGTTTCAATATTATGTTGTTCTTGTTGTTATTTGACACAGAATAACACACCTAGTGGAAATATTAAATAACCGCATTTCTCTTCGAATACTGGACCAATTGCTTTGAAATTTTCAGTGGTTGAAGATAAAATTTTTCCCCAGAAGGCTATTACTTTTATTCATTTTAAATATACCTGTTAGCTCTGTGAGATTTGTTTTTGTTTGCTATGACGTCATTAAACGTTCTGCAGACATCGGACGCCATTTTGTGTCCTACTGTACTGCTTCGCTTGGTGTGAATATATTTGTAGACTGTGATCTGACGGTACGGTAAACCCAACGACTAACATGGGTAAACCGTACTGTACTGCGAACAAGACGTAGGATAGGATTTACATATTTATCCCGGGGGAGAGGAAAGCCGATAAGACGGCTTATCCATATGGCAAACCACGGCCTCTCGTCCGGTTAGGTACCATTCCAAGTCGGGTATGGGATTAGTTTTTACTGTATTGTTTGTTTTTCGGAAGCATGGACTTTGTGGTGGAGGAAGCCGTAACCGACCAGCGGTTACGTGAACCACGTGTCCATATATTTGGGCGTAGTTCTCTTGTTTGTTTTCAGATGCATGAACGACCACCCTATATGTACACTGGAATAAGTCTATGTATCTCGAGCAATTGATTGGTTCACGTCAACAACCAGGACAGGAAGCGCGGCAATGTCATTGATTCTCAACCCTTGACCCCAGAAAACGGGGACGTATCGAAATAAATTTTTCCTCATTTCCACAGAAAAATTCTCCCTATAATTTGCTATTGCAAAACTTCTTTAAACCTTATTTTGAAAGAGTTGATGCTGGTTTACATGTTTAATTTGTATTGAAACTATTTGGCCTCTTGCAGATACTGACAAATAACACGCAAAATCATTAAAATGAAGCAATGCGCACAACGATGCTTGGCTAGCAAAAAGAATAGGATTCAAGATATATATCCCGGGGGAGACGGCTTAATCATATGGCGAACCACGGCCTCTCGTTCGGTTATCTGTGTGAGCGAGAGAAATGTCTGATTGGCAGTGCTGGATTTACAATTATGCAGGCTTATACTAATCATTTCCAGTTACCGGTATTACGATGAATAACCAAAGAAAACCTAACATAGCACCATATTTTGTGATTTACAATGCCTATAAAAGCG